GAAAAGATGGCTTGTAGCTAAAGGCTATACATTTAGACCATCACGGGAACATTTATATGCTATCTTTGGCAGCTAAAAGCTGGTCCTTACAGTGTTCATAACGCCTTTTTGCACAATTATCTAGAAAAGTTAACAATGAGGCGATTGAGAATGAGAAACCTAATTTTATTCAACCGATAGCAATAAGAAAAATAAACACTGAAGTGTAAGTAAATCCAATCGATTTTAAGATATAAATATTTTAATTGATTAATACATTTTTATTTGTGACAGATTTATTATTATTATTATGACAAAGTAAATTAATGGAATTCGTAAATTTGAGTCTTGATAATTAATTACAAGGAGCTACGATCGTGAGATACAATTATCCGTGATCGTAAGTGATAACAAATTTTGATATCATTATTGCAATTAGACCAACATATGTGACATTTTTTCACCTATGAAGTGAGTAATTAATCTTACAAGTTAGAATGTAGTTGCATTTATAGACGCACAAATGTTTTGCTAAGAGAACAAAACATTGGAGAACTATTACACGGATTCTACATGGATAACTATCACAGTGTTAGAGGTTAATTTTTTACCATTCGGTAGTAAAATTGATCGTTCGAATTGAGATCATCATAGTACCTTATATGAGGACCGTCATATTTTGATAATGTTGGATATTGTTGTGTCAAGAGTTGCTAGTACAACATCATTGGAGTATGGTAATGATCTTATGAATGTTGCGAATGATCAATTAATAATTCGTCACTCTTAGTTAATAAGAGATTATGATATACGTTTCATTTGCTTAAGTTGATATTGAAATCCTTGGCCAAGCTAAGTTCTTAAGTCGAAAAAGGTTTTTGCAATAATTGACTCAAGAGTGAGATCGATTAAATCAAGTTTAACACATCTCCATATCTCTTAGTTGTTTGGGTTATATTGATGAAGATATTATAGTTTTATGATAATCGAACGAGTTTACTTTTATCATATCACGTGATGTTTTTTGTCACATGTTTGGTATTGATACATTGCTAAATGTCAATCATGAATGATAGATATTATATAATTAATCTAGGTAAATTAAATTATTTTAATTTATTTTATTTTGATTAGATTGAAATAATAATTTACATTGTCCGATGTTGTGATCGGAAACGTAATACGTCACACAAAAGGCAAGAAATAGAAGGATGAAATCAAAAATTAATTAATAATTGTGAGACGTTATTCAATTAATTTATTAGTAAAGTACTTGAAGATCTATAGAAATTTAATACATTCAAATTTAAACAAAAACTTTTAGTTTTCAAAATCTTAAATACATCAAATATATAATTCTTTGTTCGTTCGTTAGCTGAGTTTGGATTATGATGAGTTTTTTTTA